AGTTTACATCTCCCTCTTTCCCTCTCGTAATAGTATTTTAAAAGGGTATTTTATAACTTTCCACCCTATGGTGTTAACTATCATCCGACGTTAGAAACCTCAACAAAATTTTTCTATTGAGCTACAGCAAAGTTTAATCCGGGCGAAGTTGTCGCACCATTTTCTGTGCTACTGAGGTAGAGGTTTGCAATAATTTTTCTTAAAAAGTGTCTGGTAGTTATAAATAACCAGAAGAGGCCTGTCATCTGCGAATGCACCCTGCTCGGAAACAGAAAATGTTCTGTCGTATGGCTAGTTTTAGTCGTTCATCGTCAGACCACCAAGGTTTCGTAGTTACTGATATTTGAGCTCGGGCATGTCCAAAGTATTTATGTGTAGACACGCCATATTTGCTCTCTAGATTCCTCGGCAATCGCCAATCCAGTATCTAGGTTGATGGGAACATAAATTGATAGGAGAACAACTCTGAATCTATTAAGGGTCCAACTGTTACCCTTCGCATTTGAATTTTACTGTCTTATTAACTTTCCACGCAACTTGATACATTGACTCTTTATATTCATGTATATACCTACAATAAGGATTTTTTAATATTTTCTGGTTCCTATAGTTTACTTGTTACACCTGCCCTTCATCTTTTGTGATCGACGTGAATCTGCATAGTAATTTTCTTGAAGTACCAGACCTAATAGAAGGATTTGTCTGTTAAAATTATTAAGCTTATTGCATACCCTGTCACGATGGGACATTTGGTGGGTTATTTTCTGTTTTTGTCACTAGTTCAGTCGCTTCACGGACCTGCCGCCAATTCTTACTCTGTCACTCTCCCGTTTCTACTATGATGCTAAATCAATGGAGGCACGTAAACTGGACAAACTCTGCAGCTTTCCAATGCAGCTGGATATGGCTGATTTCGTAGCAGATAATTATACGAAGGTATTCGTTGGTTAAGCAGGTCACTATATTTTTTCATCTACCATATTTACTCGGAGGCAGGAAATCATCGCCGGCGATTAACCTCAGTGCTTACTGTCTAGGTTTTTGTTCGCACTAAGTAGTAATAAATCTGGATGTTATTTCTACTAACAATGTCGCCTTATATAGAACTGTCATCGAGCACAATAACAGTATTGATAATAAGGTAGTTCTAATGCAAATTGTGCTGTAATTTGGCAAGTTAGGTGTGATTATTATTATTATCAGTGTAACTAATTGTTGCAATGGTATGTGTATTGTGCTTAATCCTTAGGCATTCTCGGCCGAAAATATTATTAAAATTGATAATCCCACTTTGA